GAAAATCTTTCCATATTTGTTGTTCGGGTATGAAATTATATTGTTTAGGAATTAGGATAGTGTGGATTTAATTTGACTGATTGACGTTTGATTGAGGAAAAATTATTTATTCGGTTTTTGTATAAAGATAATCGAATTTCAGGAATATAGGTATTCAACTATTTTATCTGTCATGGAGACACTTTAGTGTATAGTTTGATATTTGTATATATATATATATATATGCCATTTTTCTTCAGGTCAAACAGATGAACCATTATTCACACCGGTTTGGTTTTCACCAAAACATGATGTCAATGGTAATGTATATCATGAATATTTAGGAAACTATTGGAAATCAAAAGAACAACAAGATTGGTTAAAATGTCCAGATATTTATTGAAAAGTTTTTTTTAGATCTTATTTTCAATTATTCTTGTAGAAAGTGTAAAAGATTATTTCAGTACGAAAAATTGTTTCTGTGCGTCAATAAAAACTGTTTTACTGTCTTTCCTGTTCACCTTGTTAGTTAGTGTTGGTGAATCCTATTACATTTTTTAGAACATTTTTGTTTGTTTATAGTTTATGTCTTATAGAAGAAAAGATAATTCTGATCTGTAATTTATAATTCTTGTTATTGATATTTATAAAATAGTCCTAATTCACATTAACTTCATTCTCTGTTTCTGTTCCGTTTTGATGTTTTCATTCACGACTTATTTCCCTACTAATCCCCCACTTTGTTCTGTTTTGTCGAACTACTGTCATCTCTTCATTTCTTTATCTATCTGTCTGTATAACTGATCGAATTCTCTACGTTGGGCTTTCACTAACTTCCCTAACCATTAGCCTATTTTCGTGTTTCTTTTTGAACTACTGATTTATTGTAATAAGTACATTGTGTATAAGTGCATTGTCGTGTACTTTATTGTAAATAAATGCGTATGTGGCTTTGATGATTCCATTTTTTGAACCTCCTCACATACTCGACTTTTATTATAGTAATATTATTTTTGACTATAATCAGAATATCGACTTCATTAACATTTATAAAAAATTTTGCTGAAAAGTTGCTATATGGGACTTCGTCGAAAGTCTTAAAGCCTGATGATGATGATAATCATTAGCATGAACCATTGATGACGTCATAATTATCACATTTTATTTTCACATGACTTTTGTTATAAGAGATAATGTCAACAAATGTCAACCACTGTTTATTTTAATTAACGCCATTAGGGAGAATAAACTGTTCACTGTGATGATGATGATGACTATGGTTGTTTACTTGTTCTTGTTTAATTTTTCTAATTTCTAAATATATTTACTCTTCTTTATGTCATTTTCGCCACTTAGATGACCAAGATGGTTCGGGTGTTGTTCTTCTTTTATTTTGTTAAGTGATTTTTTAATCTTTCTCTTCATATTTATTATTTTACATTTCAGTGCTGTTTTCATCCTTTTTCTGCCTTATTTTTATTGCACCGATTGTGTTATTGTGTGATCGTTTCATATGATCAATTGTTAACTTCACTGATTACCAACATACTGTTTTGATGATTTGTGCAAATATATATATATATATTAAATCTTATAAAGTCAATATCTTTACTGTTTCTTGAAATTCTGTACAATAAAATGTTGACAAAGGAAAATAGGAGACATTTACAAAAGTTTGTTTCCGAATGTAGGTATATAGATAATTTAGTTTGTTGACTTAATGCTGTTTAGATGCAGTTTATATTTGTCATTTAGTTCACTTATGGATTATTTTCTCTCTTTTTTTTACCAACACTAAATTGTTGATTCTTTCAATTAACTTTTACAACTAAATTTGCTCATTTACACGTGTAAAGATGTATTTTGAAAGTGAAAACTCCTTCACCTTTTTCTTTCTATAAAATTTACTTATACATATACTACTTAATTTTCTGTTATATTTTGCTGTATGAACAACCAGTTCTGTTTATGAATTTCTGTATTACTTATTCTACTGACTTTGTTTGGATTATATTGTGCATAATTTACATCTTTTATCAATATTTTTTCTGCTTATTTCTTCGGTTGTTTTTTCCCTTTAGTTTGTTTTTATTTTAACAGCCTGATTGCCAAGATTGAATTCAGTTTATATTGTGTTTTTTTTTCTATAAAGAAAATTGTTTTTTTTATTCTGATAAAAAGAATCAGAATTATTTGAATACGATTTTATATTTTCTGTACTAACTACCAGTTACGAATAGAGAGGTAGGTGTACAGAAGTATGATGTACTAGGTACAAAATATTAACTGCAACCACATAATGATGAATATCAGATATGTAGCGCATCCGTGTGTTTGTCAAATCCATATTCAAAATGTTTAGAGCGAACATGGATGTTTACATAGTTTGTTACAAATTGAGTTTAACAATTTAGCTAAACATTTCGTTAGGTCATGGAATTCGTTAGATATCCAAAATCTCTGACTACCTAGTCGCTTCTCACATTCCTAGAGTTTCTTAAACTCAATTAATTATAAAACTTTGGAAAAGTAATTTGCAATCGGAAAATACAGGAGACCGTATACATTCGATGTTTTTATCATCAAACGAGATCGAATGTTCTTACGTTTTTCCGTTACTTTTGTGATGTTTACCACCCTCACTGAAGAATTTGATCTGTTTGAAAGGATTGTTCTCTCCAATTCTATACCTCTATGAACAACTCTCAACATTTCTCTAATGCTGTCATTTTCATCGAAGTACCTCCAGAAATAAATTATTCGTAAATGTCAATCTGAAATTAGAAAAGTTATTCACAATTCCTTTTTGTTTTATCATTCATATTTATATGGGGTAAGTAAAACTATAATCCATTATGGTTTGATCATTAAATTAAATTTAACATAAGTTCGTGATGTCGAATGCTTCACTGAAACAGTAAAGACACCAAATATAAAAAGTAATTAATAAAAAATATGAGAAAAGCAGTTAGTGGAGTGAATGTAAACATTGTAGTTCACTTGAATTTGTGGGTCAGGATAAGTAAAAACTCATTCAATCTGTAATGAGTTGTCATAAATTCATCATGTTTGGTACTATTTTATGAAGGATTGATTACTCGCCGTCAGTGAATGCAGACTTATCTGATTAATGAGTTCTTAACAAGCTGAAACCTACTTCTTCAATTCAATCACTACTTATTTGCAGTAAGATATTTTCCAAGCTATCCTTCATATCTCACTACAACCAGGAATCTTGATATCTATCCTTTTTGTGAATGAAATACAAATCATTTGTTTTTCAAAATAACGCACTAAAATTATCAGCTTGTTGGTGTAATGAGATTTATCTGTTGCTTTTAAAAAAAAACGGTTCAGCGATTATTGAATGAAATAAAGTGAGCATATGTTTACTCTACAAGATCCAAATGTCATATCTAGTTGAACGTGGTGAACTTTAGTGATGTTACTTAATGAAGAAATATCCATTTATTTTAGCAAAAAATTATATGTTCAGTTCGAAATCGAGACATTATTTAATTTGTGTATTTCAGAAATAACCATAACGCTCCTGAATACATATTTTTAATTGCACATGAGCTTCAGTATCCTGAGGGAACAATCGTTGGTCACCGGCAACCATGGGACTGCATCTCCACTGCCTTGTGGGTCAGTCCTTGTAGTTCGAAGGCTCCGGGTGTGGCCCCCTAAGAAAACCATCTGCTTCGATCTGGGCACCCGAGCAATATCACAGCCCTCACAAAAATCTCATTTGATTTGTGTGACGCCCATGTATTGGTGCCTCCTTGTACCAACACCTATGTGTTCAAGTGAATAATAATAAATAAATCGGAAAATGCTGTTGTTGTTTTTTTCAATTACCATTCTGAAAGTAATTTAATAAATTTTATATAACTAGAAGTTATAATGAAGTAAAGAATGTTGTGCAATAAAATGTGTGATACTTCATAGTACATATTTCACATATTTTTTGTACCTAATTAAATCTTTGAATAAATAATATAAAAAATTAGGTAATAAATAATTAATGGTGTCCTTTATTATTATTATTATTATCGATTTTACCTTAATATAATGAACTAATACTAGTATTGTCGAGTTGTAAAACAAAGATCTGGTTTCATTAAAAATGATAATATCAAAACAATTTTAACATTTATTTCATAACAAGATAATTGTATACATCCACTAGATGTTATACAGATAAATATTCTAAATGATAATAGAATATAAATAAAAGAAAATTCAATGAAATCATTTGCGAAAATAACATTGAAATAAAAAATGTTATTAATAATCTAATCAGGAACAAAACTTGGAATATTCAGATTTCGTTCATGATAAGTTCCAATTTTTCCAGAATTAATTAAAACATGTATACTATCAGAAGGGATTCGTGGAGATTTTAGAAATTTCACAGATTGAAATCATGAGTCAATTGAAGCTAGATCACTATGAAAACCTGGAAGCACTGGACGGCCGTATCGTTCTAGTATGGGACTCCTCAGCAGTGCGCATCCATGATCCCGCACCCCGCGAGATTCGAGCCCAGTATCGCGCCAAGCGCTTAACCAACTAGACCACTGAGCCGGCATCCAATGCTGTTAATGTCTAACTTCAACCAATCCACAAAGTTGCGCCACCGTATACCATTGTCTTCAGTGAGCTGATATCTCACAACAGACCTGGTTCAACTCCACTGGTAACGGCTTCTCACTAGAACTCCATGAGTATCTCTTGAATTCAGTCACTAGTGAGTAGATGATTATTATCAGAAGGGGTTTGTGGAGATTTTAGAAATTTCACAGATTGAAATCATGAGTCAGTTGAAGCTAGATCACTATGAAAAACCTGGAAGCACTGGACGGCCGTTTCGTCCTAGTATGAGACTTCTCAGCAGTGCGCATCCATGATCCCGCACCGCGCAAGATTCGAACCCAGGACCTATCAGTCTCGCGCCAAGCGCTTAACCAACTAGACCACTGTTTATGTTTTTTTTCGGCTGACATTCACTCTGTATGTATTTTAAAACAAAACACATCTACTTATATTTTCCAATAGAAAATAATCGTCATTTCATTAATTTCGATAAAACAATACAAATAAATAAAATTCAATGTATGTTTATATTTATTTACATGTGTAAAGCGTCGTTTTGAAAAAAATTGTTTGTTTATACATTTTTATTGAATTGTTCAGTTGATTGAATCTTAATCTTTTGGAATATAATTTATGATTTAAAGATTTATTCATTTCAATTAGACAACTATTCATTTATGTACATGGTGTTCAACGATTCCGCATGATCCTGATATGTATTTTTCTTTATGTTTCGTGGAAATCAACGGTATAAAAAAGGTGATAGACAGAAAGTCTTTCTTAGAAGGAACAAGGAAGTTATTGTTAATGGTATTGAATTAGTCACATAAGGAATGTAAATGTAAAAGGAAAAGTAGTATGTAAACTCAACTAGATGTCTACAGAATGAATTCATACATTTAGCAATAATTCAAGAAAGGAATCAATCATCGTAATAATAATGCTATCAATCAACTGCATTCACTCTAAATCTGGTGTTCCATATCCAAGTCGAGCTAGTGCGATATTTAATCGATGCCGTTGAATTGTACGGAATTGTTGTTCTTGTATCTCAACTTCCTTTGTGATGGCTTCTTTACCATTATTGTGATAATTCTTACAATTCTTTAAATTGATGAAGTGATTATCATTCTTTTTATTAATACTAATCATCGGACTAGAATCTAGACCACGTTTTATTATACTTAAGTATTGAAATAGATTGACAATTGCAACCAGTCTATCTCTTGCTGGTAATGATATTTTACAATCGATTTCATTGGAATCAGGTGTCTAATGTAGGAAATAGAAAAAAAACATAAAATGTCATATATCAGCTTTTTAAAGGTAAACAGTAAGTTATCCGTAAATTATTATTGTTATCATTATTATTACTGTTGCATAACCAACATACTATAAAAAGGATTTCTAAAATAAGCATTCGAAAAGATAGATTTAAGAGAGATGTTGTTGTACTCTGGTCATGAGAAAGAAAATGCTCTACACACTCAGGGAGTTGCTCTGATGCTGTCTAAAGAATCAAGTAAGGCACTTGTAAGATGAGACGCATTCCGAAAAAGGAAGGGAGCCAGACAAGACTGCTTACTCTCCCATTTCCTCTTTCTTCTGGTGCTCGACTTGATTATGAAGACCTCGACATCTGAGGGGAAGCACGGAATACAATGGACAGGTTGGATGCAACTAGATGATTTGGACTTTGCAGATGACCTAGTTCTTCTATCCCATATATATATATATATAATTGACTGGGCATCTGAGTGTTTCAGTAGAGTTGCCGTCGATAAAAATGTGGTTTCTAGATTTGAGATATTTCTTTTTAATTACTGACCTAGAATGTGTGACCTAGATCATGTGACTTCAACCAAACATCCAGTAACATATGTTATGATATGTTTCAAATTAGGAAAAATGACACTACTAATACTTATCTTTGATGAATCTCTAAATCAATCAAGTCGGTAGACTACAGAGAAAATAATTTCTTAACAATTCAACTTACTCTAATTTTCATACGAAACACAGCTTCATATTTTGGCATTAATGAGCAGTATTCATGAACAACTTTTATTGTTTTATCACCACCATTTATATCGTTATTCCGACGTAAACCACCGCCTAATTCCGGTGTAATTGGTGTAATTTCTAAACCTAATTCCGGTAATGCTTGATAAATTGAAGAGATAAGTTTTTTATCAATAAATTCAAAACATGGTTTTATATCTTGCAAATATAAACGGTATATAAATCTGGATAAAGGTTTATCCAATGGAAAATAATTTGAATCGAATGATGATTTTGTTTTAATACAGTTTATGATTATTGGTGAAAAATATTTATCATCAGTTTTAACTTGTGAATCATTATGATTGTTTATTGAATCATTTGAAATTTCTTTAATAGTGTCATGATTATTTGATTCAGTTGAATTTTTTAATAGAACATCAGTTGTTTTGATTATATGAACAGAATGATTAGACTCTTGACATTTAGCATTATTATCATAGTTATTATTACTATTTGGAATGTTTTCCATATTATTCACAGAGTTGTGTACATCAAAACTATTGGATAAAGTTAAATGATTATTCCTTTCATTATTATTATTATTAATATTAATGTTTTCATCTGTCTGATTATTAGTAACTGTTTTGTCTAATATTTGATCAGATATATTAATCTTAGTCACTCGTCCATTGATTTCTTTTCTAGTATATTCTTTTATCTCTCCTTTCTTTGTGTTTTCTTGATGACATAATAATTGTTCATTCAATTCTGTAAATGCTATCATAGGTAAATTTAATGGACAATCATTTTGTATCCATTCTAGAAATTCCTATGAAACAAAGAAAATACAGCAATTAATATGCCAATATACACTGAAATAATAATTATTATTCATGATAATCATTACATTATTATTAGGGAAAAAGAATAATATCACTAGCACTGACTTTTGAAGAATTGCATTTTACGAGTACTTAGAGTAATTTGTAATTACTAGTGACTGGGATGCTTTTAATTACAAATTCGATCTACACGGCCAATTAACTCACAAAACACTTTGACAGGTACCTACAATAAGATGAAACAGACAAAAAACAGGTGTCCAGGAAAACCTTGATATTCAAGAAGCCCATTTTAAAGTAAAATGAAATATAGCGACAAAACCTGACCTTAATGTATGTAATTAAACTAGCACATTAAGAGATTTAGAAATTAATCAAACAGCCAAAGTTAATACGGGTGTATAGACTGAAAAGAAGTTATCGCAGTTATCTTTACAGAAATTGACTACTATATATTAACAGAAAACTGGATTACTAGTTAAATAAGTCCATTTGTTTAAGCTGTAATTTTAACTTATCAACCTTATAATTTAAAACAATCTAGTACCATACTGTTTAATCGTATACCAATGACTTTGACCGAATCCATGTGAAACCCTTAATTATTAAGCGTAGGTTAAAATAGCAGATGGTAGACGATAAATACATAAAATTATTGATTATCATAGACTTTGTAGCTAACACGAATAAAATAAATGATGTAGTTTTGAACCTTCAACCGAATAACTGGCAAATGTATTTTCAAGTAGTTAGATGATGATACGTACGCAGATACGTGTATAAATTGTCTTGTAGGTTTCATATTATTCATATGGAAGTTTCTTATCGCTATAATAATAAGCATAGAGTTGTGGAGAGTATTAAGTTATGGATTGAGATCATGAACCAATCGATTTTAGACCACCATTTAAAACCTGGAAGCATTGGATGGTCGTTTCGTCCTACTATGGGACTCCTCAGTAGTGAGCGTCCACGATCCCGCTCGCGGGATTCGAACCTAGGGCCTTCATTCTCGCTCGTGAACGCTCAACATACTACGCCACTAAGCCAACATCCAACGGTGTTAATGTCTAACCTCAACTAATCCACGAAACTGCTCGATCATCTTCCATTGTAATGAGGTAATTGCCTGTATTTACCCAACACGGATTAGCTCCACTGGTCACGCCTTCCCACTAGGACTCCGAGAATTCCCTCACGAAGCTAGTCACTAATGAGCACATGGTTATTATCAGTATAGGATTGTGGAGATTATTAAGTTCTTGATTGCGATCATGAACCGATTGATGTTAGATGCTGAGGAGTCCCACAATATTACGAAACGATTGTCCAGTGCTTCCAGATTTTAATTGGTGGTCTAACATCAATCGCTTCATAGTCTCGATCAATAATAATAAGTGACAAAGGAATAGTTCATGTTAGAAGGATATGATTTCATAACATACTGTTATATATGTTGAATTTTCATTAGGGAATATTTTAATTTTAGACAGGATGTTATCAACAGTACTTTTCTACATCAATATTAAAAATGCAAAAATAATTCAAGATTCTTGAAACTATATTGATAAGCAAGTATCTGACTTTTTCCATATATTTCTAAACCATGATACGTTGGAGAGAATTGAAGGCCTTACTTTTCATACAACTTTCACCAGTTGTCTAAATAAGCACATTTAATCTGTTTAAATTTCACAGCATTAGTCACACATACAAATAAGTTTTACTGTTTCTCATAACAAACATCAGATTTCTTTCACTCACTCAAATAGATTATCTCACCTTTGACGTAAATGGCATGATACTAATACTATCTGTTTTGTTTTTATTTGTGCCAAATATTTTGATTTGTTGCTCTGTTCTATTTAAACTCATGCTAGCTAAAATCCATAACCACTATTAATTTGTGGAGTTATTTATTGGTATTTTATTACTAAAAACTGGTTTATCACTGAGTAGCCAAATCATGTGTGTTACAGCTGATAATTTCCTATAAAAGAACAGATTACTATCCAGAACTGTGATAAATCACTTGTTATAAATAATTAATATAGAAAACTCAATGTGATGATTCTGATGACTTTGTTACAGTTTGAAAACATATAATGAATACATCATTTTTAGTGTATGGTGAAAATGTAGTCTAGTTTTACGACATAAACATGATACAAATATCACAACTTAATATTATGTTTTATGACAGTATCATAATGGTTTTTGATCAAGCATAGGAATCTTAGTACAGAGGAGATGATGTGAGAGATTTATACTTGTGAAAAGGTGATATTTTGATTTCTTCAAAAGTAATTCTCTATTATATAATGTAATCCAGAGTATATCATTACTCGTATATTGAATACATATTGGTTAATTGGCCATCATCATCATTTAAGTAACAATTTGTATTTAAAAAATAAGTTAATTTTACTATCGCTATTTGAACAGTACGATCTGCCAGTAATTATTGAAAGAGATAAATGCACTTATATAATTGTTTATCATCTTATATCAGTAAAAAACCATGTAATAATAACAAATGTCTTGATCCTGTTTTAAGAACTCGTAGTAGTGATTCATCATGGGATCAAACGATGAGACGAAAAAATTATCCAGTACTTTTTTGGATCAGTTCTGTAAGTGATGTAAGTTTGTATTGCAGAATGTCTAAAAAATGTTTTATTATTCAAATTATCAAATAATAATGATTTCACTTCCGCATTTTGCAAATTATTAGTTCATTCCAAAATGATAACACTTAAGAACTATTGGTAAATATCAACGGTATTCAGAACAAAATATTTTTAACAGTTGAATTCATGAGTTGATATAAGCTAGACCAACATTGAAAACCTGGAAGCGGTGGACGGCCATTCTGTCCTAGTACGGTACTCAGCAGTTCGCACCCACGATCCCACATGCGTGGTTCAAACCCAGAACCTTCGGTCTCGCGCACGAACGCTTAACCTCTAGACCACCGAGCCAGCATCCGACGGTGTTAATATCTAACTTCAGTCTATCTAAGATCTTGCGTAATCCTTCATCCACTCTCTGATGTGGATAACTGTTTCCACCAAACACGGATCGGACTCCACCGATCACGGCTTCCCACTAGAACTCGCCTTACTAATAATACTCATATGCCTACTAGTGACTAGCTTTAAGATGGAATTCCTGGAGTCCTAATGAGAAGTCTTTACCAGTGGGGTCCAATCCGTGTCTGATGTGAGACAGTTATATTTATTTTCTATACTGATTATAATCTAGACAATCACAGAAATACAAAATGAATCAGATACAGTTTTGACTTTACTTTGGGATTATTAAACAGTTTAAACAAAGTGAATTATAAACACTCAAGAGAACGAATAAATTATTAAAATTTATTGTAAAACTTATAACTGAACTTGAGAATAAATAATCGTAAGAAAAAGTAGGTATTAATAAGAGAAGAAATTATCCACCTACTTCAAATGTATCAACATCTAAATTATTTTTACATGGTCTGTGTGTAATCATTGCTGTTAAGAGATCACGTCTATTGAATTGTTCTAATCCACCATATTTAGCATTATTTCGTCTCTGTTCCAAAAGATTACCTGTACCCAATTTACGATGAATTTCAGGTGATTTATTACAAGCTATATTATCGTATTTCATCCTGTATGGCAAAAAATGCAAAAAAGATCTAACTAATTATACGGTGACATAAAATATTAATTGGAAATTTATATTGAGGTGTTGTTTTTTCAGGGTGAAATGCACCCTAACTCTAATTAAGATTTCATATCATTTCTTCATGAGATTTCTTCTTCTAGAAAATTTTCATCAGTAATCTTTTGAAACTGTTGGTTTCTGTCCTGTTGCAATCTAAATTTTATTTTACATTAGTTATTTGCCGTGTATTGTGTTACGTATTGTGATGCAGTATAAATCCAGTTAGTTCTAGTTCCTGACAATTCCGTGCACTTCCTAGATTAAATCCGTTGTACAATCAAATACACATGACAGCTCAGTATCAAAAGTTTGACAAGAAATGTTTTGGGGATAGATATATTTCAGACGTTAACCCGTTAGGCCACACATATAAATTACAGAGATTGCAAGAAATATGCATCATGTTATGTAACGATCATATTGTATGACGTGTGTGCGGATTGACATAATAATCAATCAGTTATATTATAAGTCATGTGTTTATGTAGTCCGTAAATTTAATATTAAAAGATAGTCATATAAAAGGGCGCAAAATAATTAGTAGAATTATAATATTGCTGATCGTGACTTGAGTGTCCTACTACACACCCGTCCAAAAAAGTAGACGTTTGCGTGGGTGTATTCACTCTGTTTTCAAAGGCGTAATTTCAGACTAATACAGTATGGAACCAACTACAACATTTTAGATAAAATAATTGATAATAGAATATAGTATCTAGCATATACTTTGGTTCGATATTTTCGATGGTGTATTTTGTAACTAAACTGCTGCATAACTCCTAAACATATTTGGAATGTTTTCTGAGAGCTGATGTTAGTGATCATGTCAATGTTTATGACTTATTTTACCCACAAATAATATTTGAATTGTATTCTGATGTCGTATGGTTGAATCTACTTAAAAGGCAGAAGAGATTTATCACTTGTTTCAACATACTTACGAAGTCTGTCTACTAATCCTGAGGTTCTATCTCCACAATTCAACTTTAATACCACCGCCAAAAATTTCCATAATGACTGAATTTTGCTTAATCTAGTTAGTTCTACTACACTAGGACTCTAAATTATCCAAAATTAAAATCTAATTCATTTAATAATTATCACATTTTGGTGCGTTCTGTTTGATGTTTTGGAGAATCCTTGTATATTTTAGGTCTGAGCATCATTTTCTTAGAAGTTGACAAGTCCTTACAGTAAGTGTTTTATTGTAAATTGACATCAAGAGAAGCATATCATACTAAAGATATTTTCCTAGTAGTCTATAAATACTGACTGCCGTAAATAACGCTAGTGGAATTGTAATGGATCAATCCCTCGAGTTACGTGGTTCCCACCCTATATTTCGAGCTGACCACTGGGTTTCAGTTAAAATGTTTCTTACATGCTCGCTCGGAAAAAGACTTTCTAATTCATTCAATTCCCTCTAGTTCAACCATAAATCGAGACGTGTCAATAAGGCAATCTCTCATTTACTGGATCGTATTCCGTTTATGGTGTTGTGAAGTTTGTTACTATGTTAAACCGACATGGATTATTCTAGATAGGTTTATTTATTTATTCTTTTCACGTCAAACTCTGGCCTTGTCATTCAGTGAATCACGCCTTGTTAAATCGAGTTAGTTCACTCGCATTCTCCACTGCGCGTCACTTCTTTTCTCTTCTCTGCACTTCTCCTTGATTGTCTGTTCTGATCAATGAGTGTACGAAATATACGTGTTCGAAATTCAGCCTCATATTTAGTTGTTTTATTCCACTGGAGGCACGTATATTTCGATAACAATCATCATACGATCTGATACCGGATATCGGGCCGGTAAAGTATTCTCTTAAGTTATATATATATATAACATCCTTATTTGTTTTAAATTTGATACTGCACATGAAATTTCTTGATGTCTGTTTATATTCAGTCGTATCCTAAACATAACCATTATCATCATTGGTGGTAACGCGTTTGTAATCTATTCAAAACTAACATCACACTATTCATGTGATCTATGAATAATTTTATAACCGAACATGGTTTTCTCATATATGTCCTCCTTACTATTTCTTATCATTTTACAGTTTCGTACTTCAAATTCATCTCTTCGTTTTCTGTAAACTAGTACATTTGTCTCGTTTGATAAATATGCTTTAATAACATTGTTCTTATTGTGATATCGTGTTAATATCCGAGTGATCGATAGGTTGACTGACTGTTGTGTGGTTAATGAGTATGGGCTTCTCTGACAGGAGAGTAGCGTTCACTTTACTGAGGTTTGGAAACATTTGGTTCATGACAAGTTTGGATGCTTACTGGATATACCTGGATCCCAGTGTTGATGTTCGAACTGTTACTCAAACCCAGCACCTATTACTTTGAACCCTAACCAGTTATCCACTGAGCTACAGAGTCTAGCTGGACACTGACTTGTTCAAGAGGTAGGAAGTAAGTTGCATCCTGCTGACAAGTTTCAAATAGTATGAAACTCATGCTCTGCATTCCGACGCCAGCCACAATCCAGCTTTAATGAGTTCTGTTTCCACCAAATTTAGCTAATAAATAACGAGAAGATATAGTTCGTGTTTTATTCAGCCCACTAACTTTGTACAATACTAATCAACTGTGTCATATCAACTGATAATTCCTCAGGCAATATCAGTTCACTGTAGTTGACAGAACTATTACCTATAAGAACACGTGAGAGGTTAATATTCAATTTTATTTTCATTTATGGATAGCACAAACAATTTTCGTGACCAGAAAATTACTATTAATTTTGAAGCGCTTATTCATAACATATGATTCTTAACTTGGTTGTAAGTGAGCCCAGATGAGCAGGCTCTCACTAGAATGAAGTGGCTGTCTAAACCTTCCTATTTGTCTACCTGGGATCAATCCATAATATAAACTATCATGATTATTTAATCACTTGTTTTTCTATAATCATCATAATTACTATATTGTTTTATACCGCTTGATTAATTCATCGATTTGCACTATGAGCCAATGTTTCGTTCCTCGTTTTATTATTAAAGGTTTTGAACTTAAATACTAAACAAAACAAAAAATATTATAACGAATGGAATAATACCAATAGTAGTTAATATTATCAACAGTTTTAACCACAAATGTGACTTGTGATGGATGCTAATTGGATTTATTTTTCCAGTTATGTACTTTATTCTAAGTTTCAAAGGTTGTTAGACAAACATACCTGCCTATGTACTTGCGATCATTTTCAATTTTTTTCAGTCTTTTGTACTAAGTACTTATTACCATAATAATAATAATAATAATAATAATAATAATAATAATAATATCACTACTAATACTAACAGTAATAATGATACTATTGATTTGATTATTGATTCATATACGCGATGAGAAATTTGTTGATAATGGTTCATTAGACACATATTTATCCATAGCTATAGCAACATGTAACAATATTCTAAGGATAAATAATATTTTGAACATGAAGTAATCTAATCTAAATTATAGTACTATCTAATAAGATTTTTGAGTACATATTTATAAGTTTTTATCAAACAATCTAGACATTCAGTTCTGTATATCGACAACATTAAGAATGTGTACTTTCATTGTTGTAAGTCTATTCATTTAGTAATATTTGTATTAGAACCATAAAAATTTTTAAAATGGGCATCACATTTCTTATGATTGGTTTTTGTTTTTTAAACATTTTAGTTGTGATAAGATAACTTTAATTGATACATACTAAACAACTTAACTAAAGCGAAAATTACCTTGAAAGTTATTGTATAAACATTACTTTTTCATCTACTGATAGGTATCGGGGAAAATAAATTTTAGTTTAATATAGTTATATGCATATTTAAAGTGTAACATCAGTCAGTCAGCTACAACGCAGGACCAGGCATATATGTGCATAGGTCCAAGTTGCCATACCTCATAAACACAACAAGATGAACACCGTATTCATAGAAATAGTTAATACAGTCTGTAGAGCCGTCTAGTGTTACCTACAGCCATCTCTTTTGCTTTCGTTGACCACCACAGCTCACGGTCGTTCCTTAGACTTTTGCTTAACCTAGATCTGATATGTTTCCGCTCTTCGTCGTGTTCAGAGCCTAATGAGATGAGTTTACGAGAATCCATCAGCGCGATAGACTTAGAAGAAGCCTCGTTTTCAGAACTACCTAAGTGTGACCTCAGTCGTTCCCGGAACCTACTTTTGGTTTTCTCATTACTCAACTCAATTCTGACGGGTCTTTTTAGTGTAGTTTTTCTGCATCCAGTAAGGCGCAAGCAGATACGTGCCCTTATTAGAACATGGTCGGAGTTCAAGAGGGTATTCCAGAATGAGCGACAATCTTCTACCGACCCTCTCCAACGATGACTGATGGCAATATGGTCTATTTGAGTCCATCGGTGGTTTGGTGCGAGGGGTCGCCATGTTACACGATGTCTCTCCTTATACTTGAAATTAGTGCTTGCTAAACATAAACAACAGATGATCACCATTATCTGTTCACTGAACCGGAACACTATAATGCCCATCTAAATGTCTTTCTGCTTGGTTTAAGCTAACCACTTAAGCATTGAAGTCACTTACTACGGGTACTATGTCTGAGCGTTTAGCTTTCTGAAGAAGTTCAGAGAGCTTTCTATAAAAGTCATCTTTCACTTCATCCGGACTGTAGTGAGTGGGAGGGTAGGCAGAAACGACGAAAAGGCATCGACGTGTGTCCTTATCCTTCCGAGTTCTCACAAAGCCATTTAGCCGAACAGCACATAGGTGATTGTTAACAGGGATCCATTCTGATAGTGTTTGTTCTGCCCTCATACTTAGTGCTATGCCTACACCCACCAGACCATGGGAACTAGCCATCGGGTCACCAGATGCACGGAGGGTTATCTCGTCGGCTCTCTGTTTCGGCGAGGTGAGGTCAAGTGAATGACCACACTAGAATCCTGTATGTGTGTTTTGGAGACACAGCATACATCAATGGTACGAGATTGTAGGGTTTTAGCCAAGGAGGCCTGCTGACCGATTTGGCATAGGGTGTGTACGTTGAAGGCTCCACTGTGTAGTTTGGAGCGAGATTTCAGTAGATTTGGGGCATTGTTTTGAGCACTAGAATCGTTGGCCATGGTGACACTTGAGGAGGAATTCAAAATAGTTGAAAGTCGATATAGGAGGAATAGTAGGAATTGAAGAAAGGGGTTGATTATGAATACAGTGGTATTGAGCGCTGTTAGAATTATGAGGGCAGTTATCACTTCCCGGTTTCCCACACTGTGGAAGGGTTCTTCAGGAAGTACCTGAATAGGAAATTGGATTAGAGGTGGTCTTAGGGACGTGGGAGCGTGACCGCAATGCCCCTGTTACAACTGACGAAGTCGGTCACACACGACCATTTTGTGAGTAATTTTCATGTTTGCTCCGTATTTGTTGAGACCTTACCACCGGAGACGGATATCCGTGTGATGAGGCGAGGTGTGTATTTTTAGGGTCGACCTTTTCTAACTCCACCTCTCTTTGTATGAAAGCAACATTGCTGTTATGCTGATTGGCTGAAGGAAACCCCTTACTGCTGTCACACCTTTGTGCAGTCAGCAGTACGAATTCGCCTTTGGACCTTGCTTTTGCTGCTTTCAGTCTTACCGCTCTTCAACTGACCTGTTTGGCTCGGTAGGACCTTGAGAAACGGTTGTTCCAGCCATTATATATTGATTGGTTCATTACGACAGGTAAGTCGGACCACCACGTCAAAGTAGCAGCAACGGTCGGGAAGTGTCAAGACACCTGGATAATAAAAGAAGTTTATGGAACGCTTCAATAATACAAACCCTAAGTGTTAAACTTTCAGGCTTTTCAGGAATTATGCTACTTTTGGACCATTGATTTGAGATCCAATGATTTATACTTCTAACTTTCGTTTATTCTCTTTTTTTTTCTTTATCACATGCTTATACTGAAAGTAAATAGATGTATACACTTTACACCTAACATAATAATCACAAACAAGTGAAACGATTACTTATCAGTCCGTACCCACGGCTCCATATTAAAAGTGTCAAATCAATCATATTCAAGATATGTGGTATGTTACACCTAGAACAATGAGGAAAACACAACGGTACGGATTCCTAACTTATATTAAGTTGTTATACTACTCTATTCTCACATCAGATGATCATCAGTTCACGGTGACAATTAATTTTAAATTATCCACACCCCCTTACAGAACACCTTTTGTAATTAATAATCCATTGTTCATTAGTGACTATCTTCCAGATGAATCTTCGAACGTTTTAACAGAAATTTACAACTAGTAAAGACAATCAAACTGCTTATGGGACAGATATACATAGATAATGAGACAGATGATAGTGCTATATCACATATTAACTGAAGCTACAAATATGTACTACTGGCTTTAGGTTAGACGTCTAAGTAAGTACTGATCACCTCGAGTCATAAAGGCCATGGGTTCAATTCTACATGGAATCATGAATGAGAACTGATGGAAAGGCTACGAGTAGGATGAAAAAGTTACATACTCTGCTTCTATTTCCAACACTTTTTCATCTAGTGCAAAAACACTCATTTAGACATTCATAAAAAGATGAAAAAAGCGTTTGGTTAAGCCTTGTTTCATGTCAAATTGATAAGTAGAGTGATATAGGAATTCAAACGACCGTTCTTCAAGTTGTCATCCGGGGCTAAAACAACACACATAAAATCTGCTCTTTAAGTTGTTTCAAACTTACATATATTTCGTTTTGACTGCTCGTATTTTCACCAAAAAAGTTATAAAATTTTAATTCTTGTAATTGTCAAGTGACAATTTGCTACAAATCATTTAATTTTTATAGGCTAATCTCAATCAGCAATGGGATGAGAAACACTGTTTATCAAGATTTTTATTTAAAAAAAATAAGACAATCGATCGCGGAAGAGTGTTGACCTTTATATTGAAAATTGTGAAAAGTAATATCTTTAATAAAGATACTGTAGTAAATTTATAAGTATTTGGCTTACAGACACAAGGAAGCCATAGTTTAGTGTATATATATATGTACGTTACGATTTACATCATAGACACCAACACAAAATGAATTTAATATTTTTGTGTGATAAAAAAAATGAACACGAAACACAACGTTTAATTTACACTTAATTGATAGAATAAACGTATTTGAATATTGAAGTGGTAAACATATCATACGATTCTAGAACAATATGTTGTTTATAAAATAAATACACTTGATAACAAAGTTTATTATTATCTTCTGTTTTTCATAGATAAACTTCTTTAATTGATTACTGGTATGGATATTTATGTATTTATTTTCTTATTAAAATGAAAGATCTTCTTGCTGATTACATAAGAAGGGGTGACTATAAAGACACTATCTCTAACAGTGGTATTTTGAAAGGTACAGGTTTTAGTTTATGAAATAAATAATTTATGGACGAACCAATCAGATTTAGGATAACACGTTTTAGATATTTGCGCAAAATTCATTCATCCGTTTGGCTAAATAGCGTCTTGGTATTTTAGTTGATGTCAGTTCGTGATAAAAACACAAAATTTATTTCCTAACACTAACTTCAACTGTAAATCATAATTGTAATTCCTCGCACCGGTTCATAACCTTAAGTCCTAGTTGATCGGTGGGTATCCTCAAGGTCACTTTAGCGTCACTCAAAGATCTCCATAAATTATTGTTTCACCATAAAAATTTCTACTTTGTAGATACTCTCTGTTAATGCCAGATACTATAGTATACATATATAACGAAAATAAGAAACTAACCTTGTATTATATAAAGAGTTTCTAATCTTTTGATTTGTTATACTTGATGATAATTCAGCAACCAACAATTTTAATGCACGAACTTCCGATTGAAGTATCTATAATTGAAATTATTTTCAAAAGAAAAAAAATCTATGACATATGGAGATATGAAGTAATTTTTTTAAAAAAAAAAACCAGAATGAACCATTAGTGCAATGCACAAGACCCATTATACTTGTTTAAATAACAGTACAATAACAAGCTTGTGCTCAAGTAGATATTGATATGGACATGGTAATGGCATAAACATAATTTATTTTTGTAAATAAATTGTATCTATAATCATCAAACATACATTTTATTGAAAATTCGACTGTGATTTTAGAGTTCAATTGGTTATGATAAACTGAGATGTTTTTCACACAAAACATTTACCGTATAAATATGAGGTATAATTTTAAACCTTGTCAATAAAAAATAAAGCCACTTAACTTAATGATCTAAATAAATAAAAGAATAATCTGTCGTTGGTGATGAAACCATTTTTATATTATATGACATTCAGAGGAAGTTGAACTTATGTTTTCTCGTTTGCCTTTTACATTAAATTTTCTTAGAGTTTGCTTCGTCAAATGGAAATGATTAAATGTTGATACTTAATATTAGCGTCTCATATATCATCGTTAGTACGTTTAATCGCATTTTCACGTTAATTGGGGATCAGTAACAGTGAAAATTAAAGTATACGCCTTATTCTACTTTGAAATCAACTTGATGTACTTTGATATTTTATAAATATTAGTGTTACCACCGTAACTCAAATAAAATAACCGATTTGAGCACCTTATGGTTTTCTTGTCGTGTCTGGTCCCATGTCAAGCTCATGTAGGTTATTCTAGCTTCTGGATGGACTGATTTATTCATCTCTACAAGTCACATTTTGACCTTGTCGACTATTTGCTTACTAATCGTGACTGTTCTTATATGAGCGTATGTGTCTTAATTGTATATCCTACTCATCACATGTCTGTAACTTATTTTTGGTCTGACTATAAATACCGAGTCAAACTTGATCAAATCTGATTAACCTAGGTGATATATGGAATTAAATGAGAGATTTATTTACATAGCGTCTTTCTACGATCAAACTGGAGTCAGATACTGGACCACCAAGTCTTAATAATCTGAAGAGCTAAAACCATCATTTATATGGAAACAACATTAACACATCAATATCATAGTCGATGTGGTTATAAAAATAAAATTCGGAAAAATCAAATCCTATTAACAATTGATTTCATTTTGGTGACAGAATACCATTTTGAGACGTAATGAATTGTGTGGTGAATTCAAGCCTTATTTTGATCACAATAAGACTAGAATGGAACCATATTTATTAGAATAATTCATAATTCAAAGTAGAATATTATTATTGTACTACAACAAATTCATATTTAATTTTTTATTTCTCTTATTTCATGAACCAAAAGTACAGTATCAATTTCTAATTTCATTCGGATCTATCAACTCATTGTCTTTTTAAAGACATATTTCGCTTATTCTATAATCTTCTATACAGTTTGCTCAACATTCCCTATCCCTGAAGTTTAACACTTCTAGAATTACAAACTAATTTATTGTGTACACATAGTTCCCTTTATAAAATGAATTCATATTATTCTGCATAAATCTTTGTTCTTGTTCTATTTAATCTATTGTAAATAACTAATTCCGAGTGGTGTTTTGATTGCAGGATGATAAGTGCATAAATCCCTCCGACCGGCAAGCACCAATAATTGTGTTCCATGAATAACAACTAATTGTACAGCAATTTTAGGAGGAAAGACACTTCCTGTTCACTTCAACGAAAACAGGTTCAGAGAGGCTAAAAATTGCAACACAGTAACTAAGCGTTAATTTTGTAGAGCACTGGACCATAACTTCATGATAATGTCAAATCATGATATCACGTCATTTAGGTAAGTGATAATATCCTCTTATTTTCATGGATAGCTATGAGTCAGTCAGCATTACCGACTACATAGTATTTCAATATTTTATTTTTACTAACCAATTTGTTCAATTTTCTACACGATTTACACATATTAAATTCAAACCCAACTATATAATGAATAAGATTACCTCATTTTCTTGAATTTTCTCTTTGGCTTGTCTAACGGCATAATGTTCTTTAGATAAGGCTTCATGGACCTTTTGATAAACAGAGTAAATGAATGGTTAGTTTTGAGTTTATAAAATGGCAAATCAGTAGAACCATTCGAATTAAAAGCAAATATTTCCGCTATTACTTTCCTGATCCATCATGACTGAGTTCTGAAGTGTCAACAAGCAACGATCACAGGTGTTCTTAAGTGTCATATACTACTGCTCATGTCTTGCCCACTAAAAATGTGGTGTATTGGTCTGTTAAATACCATATTAGATATATTCAAAAAATAAGTCAGAATAATGGTAATAACTACCTGTTATTCAGTGTAATTGAACTCATAATTACTACTTATTATCATCATTTGTAGCAGTTGGATTATTTCATTTACTTATTGTTTATCAGTCAATCTACCATAACTTCTCAGGCCGAAAACAAGTTATTTAATTTTGTCATATGTTTATGACTTGTAATTTCTTTACTATCTTACAAACTAATTATCGGTACTAAATGTTATGAAAGGACAAAAAAAAGAAAATAAAACATTTGGTAAGTTATTCTCCGACGAATCAGTTCACGTATGTTCAATTAGTTTTAAGCAGAACACTTGATTTACGGCACTTTTATATGGTCAAGTTTATATTGTAGTGTATCTTTTGATTCAATAACTGATTCAATATATGTTCCTGTTTTTAATTTCCAGTCTATTAAGCATAATTGTGTTGTCCAGCTTTATGTCAAACATTTCCTAGTTATATACATAGTGAGATTTATTATTTACGATGCCTTGTAGTTTTATATTTTGCACAGATTATCATGTGAGTTATCATTCAATGTAGAAAAGGTACTTGTGACAACTCAACTGCCTTTCCTACTTTCTCGTTGGAGGTGTGGGCATGTGGGAATTGGCATAGGCAATCGACTGGATGCCAAACACAGTAATCACGTCAGTAAACTGATTGGCTTAAGCGGAAAAACATAACATCAATAAGGAACATATTCTAAATGTCGCTGAGCACTCTGTTTTAGGATTCATGAAGGATCGAAGAAATCATAACTCTATTTTGTCACACATTGTAGATTATAGGAATGAGATTGGCAAATCTGAATCACTTAAGACCAACTCTTATATTCCGTATGTTGTTCCAACGAAACTTGAACTTTCTTTTTACACGAAGCACAATATGTGGGTAAAAAAGTCTTCGTATTTACGCAGCTTTTAAAGCAAATTTCTTAATTTAACTGTGAATGAATACTTAGTCATCAACTTTACCACTTAGTTCATAAATCAGTTGGACTTCACCATTCTCAGTCATTTTGTTTATATTTACATACTTAGTTTCTTAGCATTATTAACGTTCTAATCGTTATCGTTTAAGTTGAAATCTAAGCTGAAGATCAAAGTTGGTATTCATTTTATCCACTTATCTCCACTGTTCACATGACGAATATGATACGTGTCAATGTATATGCATTTGACACCACCAACTGGGTTGTTATCATTGATATTGATTCATAGATCATTTTGGTTGATTTTTCATACTATGATTTAGAACAACATATATAAGCGAACAATTTTGTTTTCGATTAGTTGCTCATCAGTCTTTACTCTAATATACTGTATATTAGAATAAAGCCTGATGAGGATTTAATCGAAAACAATATTGTTCGCTTATATATGATCTAGATTTTTCATACAAAGTAATAATAATAATAAACAGCAATTTATGGGGTTTGTCGAATATGGTAATATGTTTGTGTGTGTGAGTGTAAATGGAATGAATTTCGTTGTGTAAATCATAGAATAAATGAATCATCTTGGTAAACTATGTAAACGAGACTAAAATGTGTCGCTGAAATTGACGATCAATAAGAAGTTTACAATAGGAAATTTAATATTGCAACATACTAGGACCCCTATTTGACTGGAATACTTCATTATTGGGTCGAAATTGTACACTGTAGTTAATAACTATTTGATTCTATAGCAGCTATCCGCAATCGAAAATCAATAGTCTGTATCATCAAATATGACTTTTGTTATTTTCACTACATTTGGATTATCGATGGTCTTTATGACGAATTAATGAATTTGTCTGTATACTTCAAAAGAATATTTATCAAATAATTGATTTAAGATATTGTCATTAAGTCCTCTTTAAAACCTCTTTATAAAATTATGAATCAATTTTATATCTTTCAGTTCAAGTTTACAATTTAATTGACTTCTCTTTTCTTAAGTAAAGTAAATATTCACTGTCACCTATGACCAATTATATTTAAGTTATGAGAGAACTTCCTTTAAAACAAAAGTTATTCCATAGATTGAAATCATAATTCAATTGAAGCTAGACCACCATGGAAAACCTCGGAGCACTGGACGGCCGTTTCGTTCTAGTATGGGACTCCTCAGCAGTGCGCATCCACGATCCCGCACCCCGCGGGATTCGAGCCCAGGACCTATCAGTCTCGCGCCAAGCGCTTAACCAACTAGACCACTGAGCCGGCATCCAATGCTGTTAATGTCTAACTTCAACCAATCCACAAAGTTGCGCCACCGTATACCATTGTCTTCAGTGAGCTGATATCTCACAACAGACCTGGTTCAACTCCACTGGTAACGGCTTCTCACTAGAACTCCATGAGTATCTCTTGAATTCAGTCACTAGTGAGTAGATGATTATTATCAGAAGGGGCTTGTGGATGCGCACTTCTGAGGAGTCCCATACTAGGACGAAACGGCCATCCAGTGCTTTCAGGTTTTCCATAGTGGTCTAGCTTCAATTGACTCATGATTTCAATCTGTGAAATTTCTAAAATCTCCACAAACCCCTTCTGACAAAAGTTATTCGTTAAGCGATGCTCATTAACTGAGTGATTAATAATCACCTCTTTTCTATTTCAACCAGATGACCATCGAAAAAAAATTACAATATATATCCAGTTTCTTTTCACTTACCATTCTGTTTGCTTCTTCAAACAAAGTAGCATTGAGTTCCATGCATTCACTATTCATACGTTCAATGTAAGATTTTAAACCGATATTTTCTTCGGAAGTAAGTTTAACTTTTTCTTCTAAGCTAATCATATCATTACACGTCTAAAAATGAGAAATAATGATTGAAGAGTAATGAATAAGTATTCAAAATTTAAGGAGAATATGAAAAAAAAGTATCTATGATGATATACAACAGAAATTGTATAGATATCGCTTTTGATCTTGTTTAGGTTGGTTTCAGACTGGAAAACAAGTAAGGAAGTTTGACTGACTTATCATTGATAATGATAGTAATATGCAAAAATACATATTGTTTATTTTATCCATATTAAGTCATTAAAAGAAAACAGTATAGAGGGTCAATTTTACCAACGATTATCTAATTGCTTGACATTCATTAACGAACCTTCATAACAATGGTCTTAATATTACATTTCTCACCGTTGAATCCCCTGTTCAACACCTATTACATCTACAACAGTTTAAACATCAAGTTAGTATGTCCAACGTTGACAAAGAATATAAACCCTTACTTCCCTAATGAGTTACAATTACTGATTGTTGTCACCTCCATTCAGATGAGTATTTCCTTCCTTAATTTTTGAACAACAGTCAAACTTAAATATTACAACGATATTTCACTTCTGAAAATACTTTTTGCACATTTTTATTGTTTCTTTTATTTTTAACTGCTGTCTACATAATATGTTCCTCTACTCAAAAATCAATTTGACCAGTCAGTCTAACAAATCTGATACAGACTTTATACAACAAATCTAGGTGAAAAACAAAGTTTATTTACTTACCTATTTAACAATTAATATTTGTGCTATTTTTAAGGTCACTACGTGTAAATCAATGAGCAGATGATTGTTACAATAAACGGTCAACAAGAGAATGTAAAAGCCTACTTATAAATAGTCGATCAATTCACACATTAGTGCCATTTTTGATATTCTAGAACTTTAATTTTTCTCATTCCTATTATACCACCAGGTGAAGGTACTTCCAAATAAACATAATAGTTTCTGTGGAGTATTCTTGATGCCCCATTGCATCATATATATTTAGTATAACAAATAAATATGATTTGTTATACATCAAGTCATTTATTTTAAATAAACCAATTGGTTTATAAAACTTAGTTATGTAACGTATTCATGATAGACTCACATGTTAACAAATGATCCTGAGTCATTTCGTCCGAATTCTCCAACCACTGATCTCGGTTATCACGCGGACCCTAACCAGATACTCTGAATCAACTTATGTGCCTCAGACCAACAGTCAATAACCTCATGGACTGTTGCGACGATTTCGTTTAGTCGTTCGTCGAAATACGTGGTGGTTAGACATATGTAATACATGTCCTAAATACCTCGATCGATGAAGTCTGAATATCATATAGATCGATTTCCCACCTTTGCTTAATTCTAAGTGACCAGAGCCTAGTGTTCTTTCACGTTTCATATTACCCATAACCTTTTCGACATCATTAGAAGTTGATAAATTTATGTCAATCAACTATTCAAGTCGGTTTGAACTGTTCCCTAATGTGTTCTACCCATCCATATAATATCCTAGATTGAGAGTGAATGAAAGTTTTGTCTTTTTCTGACATAGTCTTCCTTCCTTTTTAATACCAGTTTCTTTGATGTTGTCTTTTGTTTGTAAAATTACTAAGGATATTTTAAATATTAATAAGCTCGGAAACAAAAAGAAATGCAGTAATGAATTATTCCTATACATTTTTATTACATTTATAGTTACTGATATATAATATCGTGTTACTGACATCATTTTTCTCATTATTATTATTATTATTATTATTATTATTATTATTATTATTATTATTATTATTATCATGATGATGAAAGATGTTTGTGTTCGAATATAGTTTAGCGATAACTGTCTTCTGAATTACCATCATTATCATTATTGTTATCATTAAACGAAGCGTGAACACAGGCAATAAAAATAGACAAATAAAATGTAAAAGTAATGAAAATATAGATCCTTATCGATAAAAATGATAATAAATCTTGTTAATTAGGAATTTCATGAGATTTTTAGTGATTTACTCTGCTCATCTTTATAGAAGCTAAATGAATTTTTTAATGAAGCATAATCTAGGACTTTAGTTTGGTGTAATTGGAAATAATTAAGATTAAGTTTTAACCATCATTCTACTATAGCATTGAAATCCATAATGATTTACCAACTTTTAATTTAACCTTTAACTAATACTACTGTGATGTGAGCTACTTATTTCCACATAAGTAGTATATAACGCTGGTCAAGGACGGAATATATTTCAGTAGAAGATCGAGAAGGAAAGAACAGGAACAGAAAGCAGTTGGTATGGAAATGTATGAACAATGAAATCTGAGACAACGGACCAATATCTGCCGAAGGAACAGTCAAGTTTGAGATAATGGACTGATATTTTGCAAATTAACTATTTTCAATATGGTTCTCAGATTTTAGTGAGATGTTCTCTAAATTTGTGCTCGAATACATTCAGTTGTCCCCACTCGTGTTCTTATTCACTACACTACTACTTTGTCTCACTATAATCAAGTCGTTTAAGTTTTAACCGATAAACAATTGCGACCGGTTTTGATAGGTGAATTTATTAATCTAGTAATCAAATATTTTTCTAATTTAAAAAACAATAATCCATTGAAGACGTATGATCGGTTAGGACATCATTTTTATTATCAGTTAAAGAGTAACATTTCATAGTTACATGTTTGTAGAGAAAAATATTTACGTCTCATTTGCTTAGCATTTGGTAACTGCTTATAAAAGAATATTACTATATTCAATCGTTTTATCCATATAACTCGCCTGTTTTTTATAAACTGTAAGGTAAAAGAAATTATATGTAATTTATATCAAAGAGTTGAGATAATATAAAGTCAAACTATACTGACTAGTCTAAACCATTTAAGCCATTGTACTGATATCTTGATGTTTGTGAGGGAAAGCTCACACTTTGTACTAGTTTTCTATGTGCAACAAACGATCATGAAACATAGTTGATGAATTTAAATGACAAAATACAAATTTATTTATCCTATCCTCTAAGTCATAGGACTACTGATGAGAGCTTGTTAAACAATCGAGTGGAAATTGATATTTGACAAAAAGTTTTAAAGAAGTAATGTAAGTCACTTGACAAAATTATATTGTAACATATATTGTATATTATTACCGCTAAACTATAGACTGCTGAAATTTTGGTCTCAGTGAAAATAAATCGAAGTTAAGCTAAAGTTGGTTAATCCAAAAGATGATTAGTACTCAGTGAAATCGACGTGGGTTGAGCTTAACAGTGTAGGAGAATGTAGTTTTACTCGTTAAGAATAAATAAGAATGAAACAAAAATATGCGAAACCTAGTAGCATAGTTGTTCTTTATTAAATACAAAACAACAATGATCAATCACATGAATCAAAAAGTAAACAGTTATTAAGAAATCCGATTTTAAAAACTTAAAAAAAACGTAATGAAAGTGTAGTATCATTAAAAAGAAACTAACCCTTATTGATAACAATTGAATAACATTTTATTACAACACTATACACGAAATGGTTGAAAAATTTTATGAGTTCCGATTTTCAGAAATAAATCTGTATATTATAAACAATGAAAATTGGTATAGGATCGATTTTCATGAAATTAAAATGTAGATTATACGTTTCAATCATATTTAATAGTATGTACAAACATACCACATTAATTAGTATAAAAATGAAACGACTCAGGTTACAAAATTTTACGATAATACATGCTTAAGGTGTGTAAACAATATGATTTCTTAAGTTTAGAGAGGGAGGCGAATATTGATTTTTTAAACAGATGTCCGTATTTTTTTAAGAAGATATGATTTTGCTGTAAGATGGGCGCTCCTTGATTCCTTAAAAAAGTGGATACAAATGAAACTCGGGAAGCCTTTATACCACCGATCTTATAGTTGTTTCAAATCGGTTGTAAGAGGCTGGAGGCTTTATTAGTCATCACATTAGGTGGTGATCATGGTTACTCAAACATCGCTCTCATGAGTTGTTGCTTTCATTTATTCACCGAGCTGCCTTGGATGAGGTGAGAAATAGACTGATTAGTGGGATTTAGCAAGTGGTTCATGACCTTCTTGAAGATCCTTCATGTGAATCATCGTTATAGCCTCCTATGACTTCGATAACGTGAACCAGTTAGTCCAAGGGCGTGTTATACTGAGCGAGTGATACATTATTTTTTGGTTATCGTACCTAGCCTCGCAAAAGTAAAAGGTTAACACTTGATAGGTGCTCTTTTTCGGGAGATGGTAAAGTGTTGATCACGGTTATTGATTTTGATATCGTGAACAATTTTATAGAGTAATAACTTCAAACTAGTAATCATATTATATCACATCCTTTACATATTACTCAGGACATCTGGACTAAGAACTGATATACACCTATTATGCTGAGTAACAAGAATCAACAGATCTGACTGACTCATTTTATTCTGAATTACTATTGATTTTTGTTCAACTATTTCATTACGTACCACCTAATTTTTTTGATCTTACTATTATGCTTGATGATCTAGAATCTCCTCTTACATATTATATCTATTTAAAACTGCCTTTAAATATTTTCAATCTTATTACATGTATTCGAATCGTCACTTCACTTCTTATCAGTATGTTAACTTTATGATAATTTTGATTTTATAATATGACAGGTTGTATGCATCACCCAATAAGATCCTGATGAAATAAAATGAATCGATATTATTATCCTCAATTCTTTTTTCTGACTCTTAAGAAAATATTATCATTAGGGAGTTATGTTTATGGCTGATGTGGTGAAAAACACAAGCATCAATCCCATTTACTTTATAGTCTATTTCTATTGCATCATTTTGTATGTAACTGAAAATAAAAACAGGGACTCTTGTTGATTACTCTTAATCGAAAAATCTTTACCTACCATCAGTTATTTGAATATCAACAGTTGCAAGTAGAAAGTTATAAACATATAGGTGTATATAAAAATCATAGATTACATGAAATCAATTATAAGTCATTTTAAAGTGTATGGGACTTCAAT